GAAATTCTTTTCGCTTTTTCTAAAACTCTTTTTCTTTTCTAAAAATCCATTTTTACGAAAATTGGTTTCCTTTTGAAAATTTCTATACCAATTTCTCAGTTTGAGTTCAGACACACCCGAAAGCGTGTCCGAATCCCCCAAACCAAGGCTCTGATACCAACTTGTAACGTCCTAAAAATCATAACTAAAAATTTCGTTTTTAAGTTATTAAATAATCCACAAATGTCAATCATTCATTCAAAACATATCACATCAGAGTATCATGTCCAAAACATTCTTTTATTTTATCAAAGTAAACAATGGTGCGTGCCATGCGATCACCCTGAGCTCTTCCCTCTGCTAACAGAAGTACCTAAAACCAAAACTAAAAACTGTAAGCATGAAGCTTAGTGAGTTCCCCAACCTACCACATACCAAACATAAACACATACTGCAAGCATTGGGCCATGCCCGCTACTTCGGGCCTCGCTCGCTACATCGGGCCTCGCCCGCTACATTGGGCCCCGCCTGTCTCTGAGCCCCGCTCGGTATACATATCTGTTTTACTTTAGACTCGGCCTGTCTCTGGGCCCTACCGCTAAACATATGCAAACGTATAACCATAGCACATAACACATAAACTGAACATACACTACTGCATCACTGTCCTAATGCCTCGCCTATCTTGGGCCCCACCCCTGTCCTGCTAATGATGAGTCATGGAACCCCGTCCACACTCATGTTGATAATTAGATACAGGTCCCCGCCCACACTCACTACTTCCTAACTCGGGCCTCGCCCCTACTGATGAGATATGAGTGGTATTTTAGGGAACTCACTAAGCTTCATGCTTACCGTGTTATGTGTTATGTGTTTCAGGTTTTCTTAGGATCGCGGGAAGGCACCGACTTGATTGTACACACCAGTGAAAGAGTTATGTTTTGAGGGTCCTGGATTTTAATCAAACAATTATGGAGTTACGAGTTGTAAACTAAACGAATGAGATTTTTTGTGAAATGTATTATGAGATTTTTGTAATTTAAAAATGAAAAATTTGTTAGAAAATTTACGGTGTTACACTTAAGAAGTATGAGGCCAACTATATCGCACAAAACTTTAACTTTAGTTACAATCGTGTTCTCCCTAACGTTTAGAGGCACTACTTTTGGGGCGTCAAATATGTGATCCTCATTAACCGTGACCATCCATTCACTTCACCATATAGGAAGCAAAATCAGAATGCCTCTATGTTGGGCTCAGATGACCAACACCTAACTAACCAAAGGAGCAAGTTTAAGCACCAATAGCAAAGACTCACTAGATCACTAAGCAAATACTTAAATTCTCCTAAGAACAAAGAGACAAGACATAACAGAGACACTCACACCTTTTCCATAGTACTTGAGAGCAGCTTTAGAAAAGAATTTCGGGACGAAATTTCCTCTAACCGGGGGGGGGGGGGGGATGATGTCACAACTAGCAAATTTTGGTTAGGAAGTTGGCCCTTGTACAAGTAAACTCCTCTAACAGACCTTTTTGGGCCCAAAAACATATACTAGAATCTTATTGGGCCATAAAAATTTATTATTAGACCCTATTGAGCCGAGAATCTATATTTGAATCATTGTTGGGCAGAAAATCATTACTTTCGGCTCATCAAACCAAAAACCAATGTTGGGCCTCCTAGTGGGCCAAAAACTCCTCCATTTAACCTCTTTGGGCTGATGGGTAAGCCTATATATATATATATATATATATATATATATATATATATATATATATATATATATATATATAAAGAGAATTAGGGTGGATATTAAGCTTGATACCTCAATATTGTACATCACATATCAATGTAATTACACAACATACATCTAGGCACTCTTGTATTGACCAACATGCATTATACACTAATCTTTTCCCCTTCTTCTCCCTCTTAGTCGTCCAAGGACCATCCTCCCACCCCACAAATCATTTCAAACTCCATTTCACTTCTTACTTCCTCTAAAAACTTAAATTTACCTATCATCTCTTCCTCTAAAAACCGTGAGGTTGAATGTGTTATTCAAGAAAGTTCTCTTCAAGCTAAAAAAACTAGGTAAGTTTTTGTAAACTATATTACTTTGTTCCAAGATTTTACTAAGAATCCTTCCTCGTACAAATTCCTTTTTTGTATTTATGCTCTTTAAACACAAAAACTTCACAAATCTCATCAAGAACTCAAGCTAGGTTCAAATATTTTTCTTCTTCTTCTTCATCATCTACATCTCAAAAACCTAAAGATGAGCTTCATACCCCCATATCTTTCATATTTTTCATGTTGTCGCGGGGGGGGGGGGGGGGTCAGGATGCAAGTCAACTCTCGTTTAACTCTTGGATATTTTCATGTACTATTGTGTTATGTGTTTAACTTTTAGATCTTTACTTGAACATGAAGTTTATTACTTAGATCTTCATAAAAACAATGAGAAAAGTATCTTTTGTCTTATATATGACGTGTAAACTTGTAGATCTGAGATTATACATCCTAAATAGGAAAAACAAGTGTTGTGTTCAAACATCTATAACCTAAACTCAAAAATCTTCTTTTAACAGAAACGTTAACACTACTAGAAAAACAACCTTTTACGACGCTCATTGCGCGTCGTAAAAAGCTCAGACGACGCGCAAATGCGCGTCAAGGAAGGCCCTGTCATAAAGGAAGACGACACACTTTTACGCGTCGTCTATAGACGACGCGCATTTTCGACGCACATTTACGACGCGCATTTACGACACGCAATGCGTATCAAGGAAGGCCCTGTCATAAAGGCAGACGACACGCATTCGTGTGTTGTAACCTTAGACGTGCATGTTAATGACATGCAATGCGTATCAAGAAACCCCCTGTCAAGAAAGGCTATGTCATAAATGAAGATGACACACATTTTTGCGTATCATAATTTTAAATGTTTAAAAAAAGTATTATTTGTAGATTTACTAATTGTAAAATTAAATAATACATTAAAAATCTCATAATACAAAATAAAATACCATAAATAACAAAGATAATTCATTTCACTAATATGTCAAATACAAATAATTATTCCAATAGTGAGTAAATGTTATAAAAAAAATGAACTCATTTATATACAAGTGCATTATCTAGCTTACTATGTGCCAACAACTCTCTATGTGTTTACTTTTGCTTGAGTCTCGTTTCCTCCAAAGCTTCTATCCATGCCAAAATATGATATCTTAGGGTTCATGTCCAAATCAAGAAAAACATTGCTAGCTTAAATTCATCAAGTCCTTGGCGTGAAGTCTTAGATAGAATCTTAACTACAATCTCCAATCCTTCTAGCAGACCCTAAAGATCATTATTGGCCATATACCATGATCAACCTGCAATCTCTTATTACTTGCAACATCTTCTGCCTATTTGACCAAGGTTGTGCCTTCAGCAGCAACATGCTGCATTGCGTCAAAAAGATAAAAACAGATGACAACAAATACAAATAACTGCATTCTACTTAAAAAAAATAGAATCCAACTCCTAAATCACAAAACCTTTTTAAACATACAAGAGACAGGATCCAATCCATGGGGTATTTTTGGAAAATAGTCTGAACATTCTTGACAAATCATCAACCTGCAAGTGAAGGGTAGAAAGGGAATTGGAGCTTGGTGATGCTCATGCTGGTAATTGAAGCTTCAAACGCCAAGCCAAGTAGTTGATGCTCATGCTGGAAATTGAAGCTTGGAATAGCTTTTCCAATTGTACGTACACATACACATGAGATGAGAATAAGTAACTATTGTATTTGATTAGGTTTAGCTAATAATAAGCTAAGGAAGAGGAATGTGCTAAGAAGTTATTATGTATAGAATGACAAAGAATAATAACCAAAAATCCTGTCTTAGACTTATTAACTTTTCACCTATTTGTCTTATCTTCCTAAAAATATTCATTTGATCTGAATAAATATTATGAAACTTGGTTTATTGAAAGCAAGTATTAAATGGTCATGGTCATGGTCATGTAATGTAGTAGTAGTCTTATTCAATCTGGAAAATTGCAAATTTTGTCCCACTGCCACCCAGGCGAAGAGTAAAGACGTAAATTCCCTTCCTCATAAAGCTTGTGTTATTATGATTATGCTTAAAGTAAAAGACAGAACATAAAGAATGGGAATGGAGATTAAGTACCTTATGAAGTAATAGTAGAAGAAATCAGCATAAAGAGCTGTTTGTATTAAGCTAGAGAAACAGGCTAAAAACAAACAAACAAACAAATAAAAAAAAGTCAAATGAAATACATGTGTCGAAAATAAGAATAAGAGAAAAGCTTTAACTTACATATCCATCCATTGAAATGGGGCTGTGTGAGATACCGACAAATCCAGTTGAGAATATTCAATGCACGGTATGCCCTAACAATACAATGTAAACAAACAGATTTTCATTCATAGCATCCTATTTTCTAAATGATTATTATACTATTTTTGATCATTTTAAAAACCATTTTTCATGGTTATCCAGCTTCATAATGATATCATGCCAAAATATAGAAGGGAGAATACCCAAGAAAGAAAACATATTAACCGATCAAATTGTCAACATTTCCACTTCGCTGCAGCAGAACCAACTATGGGAGAATAGCAACAACTTCCAAATAGATAGAAAATGCCCAACATATCTCCACATTTCTAATAATATTAAAACTATACAAGAACAGCAACACTAATAGCATGTTGGGTTTAGCATATAGCAACAGAAGCCTCCAGAAAATCTCTAAAGCAAATTACTTTGACGATCATGTGAACTCCAACTAACAAAACTAAACCACCCACTACAAGCTTTTTGCTTAATAACTGTTGGTGCAAGTAAGCCAGGTATGGCAAAATACAGCTTTATGTGGCAAGCATACATGATTACAGGTTACCTTACTCATCTAATCAGTAATAGTGGGAAACCAATAGGTCCAACAGAAACAAGGCATACACCTTATCTGATAGCAGATTATCTCATAAGCATATAAAATGCAAAAGGAAATCGAAAATGATGAAAGGGTAAATGCAGGAAACAACAGATTACCCGGTCCTTAGGCTGCCATTTGGAGACCAACCCACTTTTAGCAGGAAACAAGATCACCAATAGCAAATACACACTTATAAACTTCCAACCCAAGAATCTCTTCATTCAATTTCATCAAGTGGCTTACATATACTTTTTAGCCATTGCAACTCTCAATCAGCTTCCTCCTCTTGTAGTCTTTGGAAGAACGGTCTTTATCTTCCCTCTCCTTTTTATTCTCACAGTAACTGCTATAAAAGATGGATACGAGGATTGGAGAAGACACATATCAGACAGAAATGAGAATAACAAAGAATCTCTTGTGATAATCCCTTGTGACATGGTGCTAATGTGGACAAGTGATCCTAGTGGCATTGCTTACATACAAACCATGAATTTAGATGGAGAGTCGAATTTAAAGACACGTTATGCTAGACAAGAAACATCCTTAATGCCATTAGGGTCAATATCAGGGGTAATTAGATGTGAACAACCTAGTAGAAACATATATGAGTTCACAGCTAATAGAGTTAAATGGTCATAAAGTTTCCCTTAGTCAATCAAACATTATCTTACGTGGGTGTCAGGTGAAAAACACAAAATGGGTTATAGGTGTTGTTGTGTATGTTGGACAAGAGACAAAAGCTATGCTAAATAGTGCAATTTCCCCTTCAAAAAGAAGCAGACTTGAACAAGCAATGAACTCAGAAACTATCTGGTTATCTGTTTTTCTATTCATATTGTGTCTAGTTGTTGCTATTCGGATGTGTTTATGGCTGATGAGTCATCAGGATGCAATTGATACGATTCCTTATTACAGAAATAGCTATCTTATAAAGGGAAAGTTTCCAGAAAAATCGTATAAATACTATGGGATTCCAATGGAGACGTTTTTTGCGTTTTTGAGTTCTGTTATTGTGTTTCAGATCATGATTCCGATATCTTTATACATCACCATGGAATTGGTTCGATTAGGTTAATCTTATTTCATGATAGAAGACAAACACATGTATGATAGCAGTACAAACTCAAGGTTTCAATGCAGATCCTTAAGTATAAATGAAGATTTAGGTCAAATTTGTTATGTGTTTTCTGATAAAACTGGAACACTTACTGAAAACAAAATGGAATTCAGAAAAGCTTCTATTTTGACACGTGTATATATACTGTGTGTTTACTTGATTTCTTCAATTTTACCCCAGACCATGACTACTGACTAGCCTCTAAAAATCAGGTGTGCATGCTGAAATGGTGTTGACACGTGTATATATACTGTGTGTGTGTGTGTGTGTTGAAGAATAGTTGAAATGAAAAACTTACATGCCAACTAGAAATGGATCTACATAAGAAAACAAGTGAACTTAAATCCACTGATGTGTTCACTTTCACCTGCAAACCAAAAAAACATAAGTAAGTTTCTGCTTCAAATCAAATCAAAAGTCAAAACCAAACAAAAGCAGATGCATACCATTGCATAGAGACCCAAAGCATCCTCCTTTTGAATATCATCCCGAATTTTATTGACATTAAGAAATTTAAGTATGGTCAAATGATGTTTTAAGTAAAAATTCTAAGAAAAATGAAATGAGGTTGAAGTTATAAAATTTTTGGGACTTACATGGCTAAAGCAATATGCCATGCTTGCATGAAATGCTCCGTGTGAGGTGATAGAAGCTGAGGACAAACTCATGCAAGTCTACACAGGGTGATTGCACTATTTTAAGTGACTTATTAAGCCCTTCACAAATAACATCAAAAAATACTAGATGATGATACGACCCATGTTGGTAGAAGCTCCGCCTGGTCGACTAGACCCGCTGCTGTTGGACCGAATTACCCCTCCACTAGTCTTGGGTGTGCCGATACTGAACTTGTTTTCATCTATCATAACAACAAGAGTCATGGCTCTGGCCAAGTTTGTTGGCTATAAAATATGAACGGTCGAACGTGTGTCATCCTTGAGACCATTAATGAAGGTACCTTCCAACACGCTTTCTGGTATGTCTCCCACCTGACATGATAGTCTCTCAAAATTGCTTACGTAGTCACGTACAGTTCCTTCTTGTCGGATGGCAAGAAACTGATGATAGAGATTGCCTTCACCTGTTAACTGGAATCGCTCCAACAGCCGTTCTTTTAAATCCTCCCAAGAGTGGAATGGGTCCCTTACTTGACTCCAATGAAACCAAGCCAACGCCTTGCCGTCCAAGCAAATCGTTGCTGCCTTCAAACAATCAGGTACACCAATGTCTTGGATCTCAAAGAAACGCTCCACCTTATAAATCCATCCAAACGCGTCTTCCCATTCGAAAATAGGAGCTTAAATCTTCCGAAATTCTCCCATTTGTCGACCCCTACCCTTGTTCTTATCGTCCTTGGGTCCTTTTTTGAAGGATCCAAACTCGAGCTCAAATTCAGGATCTTCCTTGTCCTTCTCCTCCTCTTGCCAGGTCTCCAAGCAATGCAAATTGATATCTCGTACAATAGTTTTGAGTCCAACTCCATCAGCGTGTTCTTTTGAGTGAATTCCTTGGGATAAACCTTCCATATACGCTTTGTTATCCCTTTCCTTTTTGAACAAAACACCATAGCGAGACTCCAAATATGTAATAATAATCGATCGATAGAGTTTCTACATAAGTTGCATGTCATCAAAAATGGCGGAAATCAGGAAATGTAAATTGTACCTTTAGCAAGATTAGGGTAAAGCCATCACGAATTAGAGCCATCATTACCTGTGGGAGACCAAGGGGAAGTTGATCGCCTCTATCCACCTGCCAAAAAAGTGAATCGTCTTCTCGTAAGTTTTCGGCGCTTTCTCCCGATCTTTCCGCTCAACCGGACCAGGGACGTCGGGAAGGAAAAGGACGTCGCTCTTCACCTCATACTCGTGGATATGCCACATTGACTTTTCTGAGTCCGGCAAGGTTAAGAATAGTTTTATGTTATGATGTTTTCAACTCCTATTAACCGCGCATCGGCGACTGGACGATCGTAGATCAAGAACTGTCTCATATCCTCGTTTTGATGGCGACGGAGACGGCGGTATAAGTGGAAGGGGGATATCAGAGCACAAAATAGAGAGACAGGGGAGGCGGGAGAGAAAAGAGTCGAATGAGTGTTTAAAAAAGCCCTAGAAATTATCCCAATGATTTTCTGATATATGAATTGTTGAGGTATACAAAAGAGATGGTATCGTGATTAGGGTTTGCAGAGAAAAGGGAAGAATAGAACGAAGGGGATCTTGAAGCGGGGTATTAAAATTTTTAAGAATTTTGTGGGGATTTCATTTCCCCCTTTCAAGAACGTGCGTTTTAGTAAAAAACATAAAGCGACAATCACAGAGACACTAATTTAAGGGCACGCAATAATGCGTGAACTAAATCCTCAAATTTTTTGAACAGACGACACGTTTTTATTGTCACTCTCTTTTGCGTAACATAAATCAGTGAGCGTCGTGATTTGCGCATCGTGAAAGGGTCTTTTTCTTGTAGTGTAAGGACTAATTTCGGATTGTTTTGACCACCTTGATGGTAATATTTTTCAAAACTATTTTAAATATTTGTTTACTTACGTGTTTATTGGGTCTTGAATGTACCTTATATGTTTGTTTTCGTGTAAATTCGATTAAGGATCTTGTGAGACGTGTTGATTGACACCTATTGAGTGTACGATCGTAGCCTGTGGTTATAACTAGATTCTCTTGGAGGGAGAGTGTGAGTTTGTGTATAGATCTATACAGGGGTGAAGCCCCACACCTGAGCTATTCGCTACAGTTAGACTAGGCCAATCTAGGGTGACAAACCTTACCTTAAAACTAGTCGGCGCCTAATAGACGTCATTACAGGCGAAATTTGTCATTATCAACTATGGTTATAACGGTTCACTTAGAGGAATTAACGTTATAAAATTTATGGGAAACCATTCTCTTTTCTTTTCAGATAAAACGGTAACCTATACGTGCTGGTACTCAACCTCGGTGGTTGAGATTCCAACATTCTCTTACGCAGACAACATCGGGTTGTCTGGGATCATTCTCTTTCTATTTTCGCAAACACTAACACACATGAATTAATATAAGATCGGACATAAATATTTAAAACCACTTCTTTTTAGAAAATATCATATTTTCTGGGAGTATTCGCTTCACTTTTACAAGTAAAAGATAACCTAGGACAGGCATGCAAATATTCACAGTTTTAGAACGAGACTTACAAATTATTATTATAGAAATATCGGATTTCTGAAAGCACTATGAGAACTACTCTAAACAAGTACAAAACCATTTTTATACAAAAATTCTTATGAACTCACCAACTTTTTAGTTGATGCTTTTCAAAACGACTTGTATTCTCAGGAATCCAACAACAGGTAATAAGCTCGGCTGTGAGATCAAGTGGTGCGACTTCAAGAAATTTTACTTTTCTTACTTTTATGTAACTGATGAACAAGTTCAATATGTAAACTATGTAAGTGTGTATTTCCAATGTATGATGTTTGGTTGCTATGTTTCATTCATATTCAATTGTTATGATATTGTACATGAAGTCATCCACCCCTGGACGTTTCCGCCATCCTGGTTCGGGGGTGTGACAGATTGGTATCAGAGCATTATTTATAGTGAACTAGTATATCTAACCATACAAGACATACAACTATAAATACAATGGGACTAAAAACTCTCTGACTAAAAGTACACCTTACGAATATAAGTATCTTATAAAAGTATAAATACTTGCTAGAAACCGTATCATAATAAGAACAAAACAAAAGTATTTAGATATTGAACACTACAGTCAACCCTAGGCAGTTATGTAACAATATATGGGATAAATATAGCCTGATCAACTATATTTATTTGAGATACTACCTACATGTGTTTGGGAGTGATGGTGTGTGGCAACAAGTCTAAAACTTACCAACCTTACATATAAAGGAGCATTAGAACCAAACCTAAAGTGTAAAAATACTATAGGAGTATTTTATGAAACCAAACAATAACAACAAGTCTAAAACTTTATCGATTTCATACATCAGGAAGCCCTAAGATCAAACATGTAATACTATAGTAGCGTTTTAGAATACCATATAACCTCCACACTTAAATCTTCTACATGTATCTCATATCTCCATTCTCACAAAGGCAACATGGTTGAGTTTCACCCCGAAGACCCCTACAACCCTACGGTAATAGACAACAAATGGATCGAGGGAGAACCAGAGGAAGTGAAAGGGGAGAACCTAGAAATGGGCCCTGAATAATACCATGAGATGAACCACGAGGGAGATGACTATGATGAGGAAGTAGATAGGGTGAAGAAGGAAGGGAGATCCTTAGCGAGCCTTACCCCTCGGGAACACTACCAAACCAACACGCAGAATAGGAAGACCATACCAATCATCTCCAATATTTAGAAGAGGAGGTGACCACCCTAAGGCAACAACTCATGGAAGCTGAGGCTAGGGCAACCTTGGTAGAGCAGAGAGCATAAGAGGCTACTCGTGAAATGAGCGAAATGGTTGGACACATTGTACGCTATTTAGGCATATGAGAGTCATTACACTATTCTCACTAAGTCCTAGGTTTACCATGTAATTCTTCACGACTAGTAGTAGTAAATTAAGAGAGAATCATGTCTTTCCATGGAAACAACCAACTAGCCGACGAAACACCAATTATGTAGATGGACCCCACAACCTTCCAAGCCGCTGTACTAGCTGCTGTGACAGCCATCATGGCACAACTCATCGCCAACAACCTAAATGGAAATAGAAACGGTGTCGATAACTCCAACCGTAGTAACAACGAAGGAAACACACGAGGGACAACTTACCAAGACACCCCAAACTCCAAAATTAAGGTCATAAATCAAAATCTAGGGAACAAGAAAGGAAGCAGTTCGACTCAAGGGCTTACCAAAAGGCAACAAGTTGTAGTAGCCCCTACCCCCACTGGCCCTCCTACCTCAGCACCGAGAAAACCATATTATGGAAACTCCCCGCTTTGCAACAAGTGCAGCTACCATCATCATGGAGTCTGCCAGGAATTGCATTGCAATAGGTGCAACAAGAAGGGGCACACTGCCCGCTACTGTAGGTCCCCGACCCCATGCGTCACTCCAACCCTCAACCCATAAGTAAGTCCAGTGTGCCACACGTGCGGTGAAACGGGACACTTCAAGAGGAATTGTCCAACAGAGAAGAATGACGGAGGACCAGGAGGAGTTTAACAACTGGACGTGAAAGGGACAACGAGGAAACCTATCAAGATTTTCAGTACGTTCCCAAATCACTCAGTCTAACTTAGTATAAACATAAGGCCGTGTGTAATTAAGATTCTACAAGCTTAGAGTGTGTAGTTCCGCCTTAATTCATGTTTCTTGCCTAACTATGGATTTAAGGCATGACTAATCGGTCTACAATCTTTCCAATCTTGAATTATATACGCCTAAGATACATCAAACCATTATAGAGAGGTCTAACAGAAATCAAACTACGAAATCACATCGTTTATACCAAGGCACTCGTATTGCTAGGACACCCAAAAATTCAGAACGAAGTAGCCACAGTAGGAATACCAAGGACGAAATTGGTAACATTACAAACGTATACGTAGAGCACACTATCATTTCGAACAACCATCCCTTTCAGATCAATCCAACATCTATTACAATAAGGAACCCAACGGTGTTAATTGACATGGGCTGACTTGATCCTCACCTTACGAAAGTCATGTGCCAACGAGGCTTTTTGCCTTAACCAATCGATTGACGAAACCCCTACAACTTATAACGACAATCCTTGAATCATCCCGGGCATCTAGACCCTTAGGTACTCGTGCAAGAAATACCATGCTCTTTCCTTGCCCATAATAGGGATAAGAAGCAAGGAGCAAGAAGGAAGATTTGAGAAGTAGTTGGATAAAGATGAAGTGTATCGTACAAAACACTAATTTAATTCAAATTTTGGAGAAGTATCGAAGTCAGTTTAAAAGACGAACGAGCTGTACAACAACCTAAAAACCCAAAGGAAAAGGGGTCAAGGTGATGAAAAAATTCTTCAAGAAGCTTTGCATTTTTTGCGAGGATACAGAAAAGACATTCAAGTTTAACGAGCCTTGGAATTGTTAATTCTTAGTCCTAGGTGGAGAAAATACGGACAAGACGTTATACTAGGAGGAGAACAATAAAAAAGAAGAAAGACGGACTTCTGTAGATACACAACGCCTTCGAATGCTTGTGTTGGACTAGATTTAATTAAGGATGATGGACTCGAGCTAATAGAAATTGTCCGACCGATAGGTAGGGACAAAGCAAAACAGAAGGGGAAGGGGACTTCTTCCAATGCATCAGATTTTAGCATGGACGCGGACGGAATAAGGAAAATGACAACGACATTTGATCAATACAATCTTAATTTCGCTCAACGTCTGAAATGACGAGTATTAAGTTCTTGATGAAAAACACCGATTATCTTTCGCGACCGACCATCGAGCTAGTTTTGAAGAAGAAATAGAAGATCATGAAAAAATATTTCGTGTAGATCGTTTTGTTTTGTTTTTTTTGTTTTGTTTTTTGTTTTTTGTTTTTTGTTTTTTGTTTTGTTTTGTTTTTGTTTTGTTTTGTTCTGTTTTTTTTGTTTTGTTTTTCTTTTTAAATCTATGTTTTCTTAAATCTTTGTTGTTTTCTAGGTTTTTTTAATCTTGGTTTATTTTTATGTAATTTTTATTTTAAATAATGAAGTATTTTAATTTTAATTAATTTTTGTGTTTATTAATCATTTAAAAAAATTATATTTATTTTTTGAATTATAGTTCATAAAAATCAATTAAAAAAAATAAATGTGAAAAATAACAATTTTCTCCTTTCTGGTGAGTGAAATGACAATGAATTGAAAGCTGACGTG